ATTTATTTATTTTTTAATTTTAAATAAAAGTTCAATTTACAGAACTAGTTTGCAATGAGAGAAAAAAACTATGCAGAACTAAACTATATTACAAGATTTAATGATGAAATTTTAGTTAAAAATAAAGAAAAAATAAATAATAATAATAAGCCATATTTATTGTATTCGCTTGGCACTTAATAATAAATACAATTTATTTTTCCACTCATATTAATATTTAAATAATTTAACTTAAATCAAAATTCTGAACATTCTCTAAATTTTTATTGTATAACAGTTTGCCCTTAACAGATATTGCAAGCAAAGTAATTTAAGTAAAAAAGAGGAACATTTCTGAAATCAGAAGATGGGAAATTTCTTCATGCAGTCATCCTTTAACAGTAAAAGTTTAACTAACCTGCATACTCAAAAACTGTCGAATATTTCGGAGAGTCGAGCTAACTGGGAAAAGAGGAGTGGGAAGGGGTTGATTGTAGCCGTTCTTTGGATTTTTCGGCTAAATAGTAAAACTCTTTTAAGTGTTCATAAATTGACTCACTGAACATCAAAATTAATTACATCTGCAAAATATCGCAAACGTTATTGCACAATACGTGCGTTGTAATTCTTCCTTACGTGACATTTCACAATCGCAATCAACAGCTGCCGGTATTCGGAGAATAAAGAACTAAATAAAGGAAAAGAAAGAGACTTACTAATCTGGGGGATTTTCCATTCTAATTTTGAACAGACTACGTTAAATTTCCTGAATAGAATCATTCTTCGCTTGGGTTGGTAGACTGCAGAACTTTTAATCCTATTCAATCCAGATTGGAAAGTGACAAAAAAAAATCCATTGCTTGTTTTGCGGCGACCTGTAATGGTTTCAATATTCGCGATTTTGCGGATAAAGGGGAGAACCTCCTAACCTCCGTACTGTATAATGTATTGCGGAAAAAAAATGAAATTATTTTGACTATTCGATTACTTTCCCTTTAAACTATTCCGAATATTATTTCTTAGAAAGCTAATTTCTATTAAAACACACCCATTTCTGGAAGTTTATCTATACTTCAGCAGTTACTGCAACTATATTATTATAAATATTCATACATATGCTCATAATATAAGTATAACGATCATAATAAACGCGAATATGAACTGACCACACGGAAGAGAATTTAAATTATTAAAATCTTGATAGAAATTCAAAACGTGTGTAGTATTTTTTGGTGAGAGGAAAAGAATACCAAATGTACCGGAATTTTCTACCGCTTTAGCAATTCTTTGACTAATAGAACAACGTACACCACCTGTCTGTACTCTCACCCGCACCAAACGGAAAGGGGGAAAAGCTATTTCCAGGTGTATGATTCACCATCTGATGTTCCATCTAAGGAAGAAAAGTTGCTTATTTAGTTTCAGCTTTGGCGCGGAGAAAAATGCACATTCATTTAAAAAAAATAAATAAGTAAGTAAGGGCTTTAAAGAAAAAGTAAGCACCTACAAGAGCCTTTATATTTTATTTTCATATATAAGGATATATAAGCACTTGTAAGGACCACTACGAACCCTGGCTACTAGCACCTCGTGGTAGACGGTTTGGCGATCACTGATCTAAACCATTCAAAACAGGGATTTAACTATTTTTTCAAAAGAAATTTAAAATAAAACATCATTCATAACAAATATCAGCTCATATGATGTTTCAAAATAAACAGCTGAGAATTACCTATTTTTAAAAGATTATTATCTGTAATTGATTTCAACATATAGCTTCAAATTTAATGACTGTTAAGCTGTATTGTTTGTTTTCTAAGGGCAATTCCAATTTTAACACTAGAAGCACCGTTGGGGTCATTTTGACCTTTTTTCCAATTTTCCGTGTTTTTTTTTAACATACAGCTGAGCTTCGAAGCTGATATTTTTTTACTTTTTCTAAAATGTTTCCAAGTATACTATGCCAATTTTTCATATTTCTACGTTAATTATTTAAATAAATAATCGCAGATATACCTAAACAGCCAACTGATGTCATTTTGACCCTCATAAGGAAAACGACATATTTTTAAGCGAATGTCCTTTTTCGAATTCCCGATGCCACGTTTTCGTTTCCTGCGCATTGGGAAACACGAAGCTCTTATCACGATGACTCAGGGGAGAAAAATAAAATCCAGAACGGAGCATATTCTCTCTCCATTACAATGCCGAGAGGAAGAGGATTGAGTACACAAGAGTGCCTTGCCTTCCTTGAACAACTGGAATCAGATATAAGTGGTGATGATAGCAGTGATGAAGATTTTAACGTTGATGTGAACTTACAGAATGCGTCGCTCTCTGAAAGCAGTGATAGTGATGTCGAGGACAATTCTGGAAATGTGATCCCTATGCGGGAAGCCGGAAGCTCCCGTGAACGCGGACGTGGTCGTGGTCAAGAACGAGGCAACAACGTTGCTGGCAGCAGTAATGAGAATTATACCTCATCCAGCGGTATTCTCTGGACCCCTATGAACCTTAGCAGCACCGCTTCCACTTCAGGTCGCACGCCTGCTCGAAATATTGTAACCACTGCAAGTAGACCAACGTCGTTTGCTCGTCATAATATAGGAACAAATCCTGCTTCAGCGTGGCGTTTGATGGTGAGTGAATCAATGGTGAAACACATTCAATCATGTACAGTTGCTGAGGCACGACGCCAACTTAGAGATGATAGTAACTAGCATGTTACTCTGGAAGAACTTGATGCCTTTTTTGCCCTCCTGTTTGCCCGTGGAGCACTAGGCCATTCAAAACTTTGTGTAGATGATTTGTGGAACAAGAATTGGGGACCACCTGTGTTCAAAGAAACAATGTCACGCAATCGGTTCCGTGAAATAATGCAGTATCTCAGATTCGATGTCCGAAGCACCAGAGCTGATCGTCTCGCCACTAACAAATTTGCTCTCGCTTTTGAAACCTGATACAAGCTAATGGAAAATTGCTATTTTATGCTATAATCCTGGAACAGAAATAACCATTGATGAACAATTGTTGCCTTGTAAATCAAGATGTAGATTTATCCAGTACATGGCGAATAAACCGGACAAGTTTGGCATCAAATTCTGGCTAGCAACTGATGTAAAATCCTTTTGAATGGTTATCCTTATCTGGGCAAGGATGAAGAACAACCAACTAATTTACAACTTGAGGAAAGTGTAGTTCTCAAATTACTGCAACCACATCCAAACTCCGGACTCAATGTCACAACTGACAATTTTTTTTTTACTTCTGTGAAACTTGCAGATGAACTATCTGTGAAAAAAACCACAATTGTCGGGACGATGCGTCTGAATAAGCGAGAATTACCCCCTATTGCTCGTGACACTTCTTCGGCACGATAATCATCTTTTGCACTGAAAAATGGAGACAAAACACTCGCAATATATAGGTGTAAGAGCAAAAAGAATGTCATGATTCTGAGCACGATGCACAGTAACGTGTTTGTTGACGACAGCATAAAGAAAAAAAACCAAACACTGTCACTTACTACAACAGTACAAAATGTGTGTTGATGTCACAGATCATATACTGAAGAAATATAATACAAGTAGTGGAAGTCGCAGGTGGCCTGTACATGTTTTTTACAACATCCTTGACATTCCTGCACTCAATGCTTGGATTATATTCAAAGAATCCTTGGGCACCTCTATTTCCCATTGAGAATTTATTCTTGCACTCGTGGAAGAACTACAAGTTGGTGCACTACGTAACAAATGCCCCCCAATTGCTCAAATACAGACACTTAAACGAAAGAAATGTGCATTTCAAAGTTGCAAGGGACAAAACAAGACTGTTGTCAGCTGTGAGGGATGCCAGAAACCAATTCGTGGTAAATGTGTTGCTGTCACTGTCAAGCATTCATATTGTATCACCTGCGGTAATGTATAACAAACTTTGGAAAACATTGTGTGTTTATTCCCAATTTATGTATTTTTGTAATTTTTTTGCATATGTTCTATTTTCCACTTTTTGCATTTGTATCTTTTTTTTTTTTTTTTTTTTTTTTTTTTTTTTGGTTTTTCATAGATTTTGTTTTTGTAATCTTACATTGAAAGATATTGTGGGCTAATTTGCACTAATTGCACGAAAAGAAAATTAAAGTATAAAATTAAATAAAAACCTCTAAAAACTCTTTTATGTGGTCATTTCAGCATCATTTTAATCATTTACTGTGTTTCTACTTACATTTCTTATGAGGGTCAAATTGACCCCCAATGGCAGTTTTCGGTTAGTCTGAAATTCGGTTAATCTAGTGTTAATGAGAAAAGTGACAGAACAGCTACATTCCTGAAGAGAAAAATGAGCAACATTTGCCTTACAGGCGCACACAAGAGATAAGGTTGATAAAACTATTTCATATACGAGCTGAGTCAAGGGGAAAAATAATAACCATTTCATTCGTTTTCTTTTAAAGACAGGCAATTTCCAGAGGTTACTTGTTATAACATGAACTTTTACAATTTAAGATAATTGATTTAGATTTTTTAACTTCAGCTTCTTCTGCCCCTTCTCAAAAAAAAAAAAAAAAGTTCGAGATTTTTTGCGACTTTTTGCAAGATTTATATTTTTACAGATTTCCTTCAGTTTCCAACATTCAAGGGGTTTTACAATGGGTATGAACTTTGAATTGTGATTATACAGAAAAATAACTCAAAGGTTATTCTGACATGGAAAAGCTTTGAGCTGTTTTTCTGTATGGAAAAGCAGATGAAGTCTATCTGCCTAAGCAAAAAGATGCCTCTATGTGGACTTTCTAATAAAAACTTACATTCATATTACACATGAGGAAAAACATACATGCAGCGAGCATATTCACCTGAGATCAAAACTGGGTCAAATTACCAATATTGGAGGCAAGATGAGCACATAATTTGGAAACTGATATCAGCATTTTAGTTTAAACTTTTCCTTGAAAATTAATTTTAAAAAATTAAATAAGCATAATAATGTTATGAAATTCATTAAGTCTAAAAATGTCTTACTGGGCAGTTTTCTATGTCGTTAACAATATCAAACATCTCCACTTGACCTTCAGTTTTACGTTTATCTTCATTAATATGCCTGAAATAGAAGTATCATTTACTTTACATATATTATCATTACCATACTATATATTTAACACCTAATATAGCTGAATCACTGATTAAAAATAAAAGGCTTGGGATAAAAGATACCAAAATTATACTAGGAAAAGAATGGTAATTTTATTTTTTAATTTGCTTATACATATATTTCATTTGAACCAATTAGCAATCATTGGGATTATTTCTTTTAAAAATTCTTTCTTTAAATCTAAAAAGTTGTTTGCTTCCCTACCAGGCTAAAGTCCACACGGCCTCCTACTATGTATCCCCTTTGGGAAAGGGGTTAATGAAGATTATGATTTTGCAGAAACAGAAATGTTTTTCACAACTGCGGAAACAAGAATCGCATAAAAAGGAAGACACCACTGAATGCTGTAACCAAACGGGGCTGCTATCAACTGTACAGAGCGCTCATACGTTTATTCTCATGTTGTTACCGAATCTTATTGAGAGAAAATTTCTCCTTGATGGCTAGAATTATATCGACAGAGCATCGCGATCAGAAAGTCTTGAACTCTTCCCTCTTTATTTTTAAAGCTACACTTTTCCATTAAAATTTCCTTCCATGCCCTCATATTGTTCCTAAAATTCTCACTATTCTCCTTAGTGGAGCTTTAATCATTTAATCTTCTTTCCTTGGTCTGCTGAAAAAAAAAAAGAGGTACCTGTCATCCCTTAGAATAGTACATTATACGTATAATCAGCGCTTAAACTCAGACGGAGATTGGCTGAGCTTCTCCTTAGCTCCTAAGTGGAAATTAACTTTTTTTTTAAGATAATTATAAGATGTAATAAAAAAAAAAAAGAACTTGCATCATAACATCTTTTAGAGCTTGAATAGCTTTTTCCAGAGCTTCATGATCTGCACTGCTTTTACTTGTATGCTTCAAAATATCTGCAAGAGAAAGAATTCATAACTCAAAGTTTTCAGCTAAAACTTATCTTCACAAGATCTTCTCAATATATTAATTAAATTAGTAATGTATGAACTTCAACAATAAATAATTTAAAAAGTGAAAATATATATTATGATGTTTCTGACATTCAGCTGGTATTAATTAACCTTTTAAATGCTGTCATCTTTAATAGCTCTTAAATGCTGAGAATAAGAACTTAAAAATGCAGTAACAGCTGACTGATTAACACCTGACTTTGCGGCATGGTGTGCCCAGTCTGCCCAGCACAACTAAAAATGTCCTTCTGTACACACAGAAAAATTGAATGAAAAAGGATTTGAAGGTTACTACAGGTTACTCTGAACCTTCCTTATTTATAGTAGATGGAAGCTCAACACAAACCAGTCCATATATTTTAGCCATGTTTAGTTTTTTAAGAACCTCATTTTCAAAGAAATCTTCCAGATTTTTTTTTTTTTTTAAGGGTATAAAAGGAATTGTTTGAAAGGAAATTTCTATGTTATTTTTTTGGCTGTATGCTAATCTCCTTATTCTATATTAGTTTTAAATTTTTACCTTGAAACCTTGCCTAAAATCGAATGGCGAACCGAGGTGTTCCCAGACTGGTCTCACTGCAAGTCTAGGTCACTGAGAGGCAGCTGTATCTTTGTTTCTCTGCAGCTCATCGGTCAGCTCATTAACATAGAAAGGTGGGTCCACATCTGTGTTTCATTCCCTGATTTTCTTTTTCTTCTTTTTTTGGAGGGAGGAGGGGGATGTTTGGTTATCAACTAAGAAATTGTTAGGGTGATTTTCTGAAGGTCAGGGATAATTTTACCAGTTAGCTGTTTGGTTTTTTCACTAGAGCAATTCTCTTTTTGCTTTGGTTCAAAGAAGTTTTCTTAGCGCTACGTTTAATAGTTTTGAGTTGTAGACATTTATATTTTTATTTTATAGTTTAAAATTTCAAATTGTAAATATAATATTAATTAAAAATAAAAAAAATAAACTATTTTCAAAACGGATCTCAGAGGGCTGACCATTTCTAAAGCACTGAAAGTGGTACACGAATTTCTTTCAGATAGTGAATCTGATACGGATCCCAGCACATATGCAAAACATGCAATATTGGATAGTGCTTTTTTAAAGGTGATGTCACTTTCTTCGAAAAGTACAACGATGAAAAAATAGACTAAAGTGTAAATATGAAATGTAAATATCATATACCCAAGTTTTTTTTTTTGTTTCCATTCATAAGCATGCAATCATCACATAACCAAAAATGAGCTTTTTAGGGGGTGTAGAGTAGCATATCTCCCTGGGCACACCCTGGGTAATGCTAAATCTGCTATGGTATTCAGAATCTAGGGTTTTTTAATCATAGTCATCTCATGCTTAAAAGAGTAAGAGACGTTGTAATCATCTCTTACTCTTTTACACGCTTCCCAGCAATGCTCATTTCAGCCCTCTTTTTGAAACTATTCAATCAGTGTGCCTGCTCCGGCCACATCCACAGAATTAAAATAAGTGCTATCTTTACAAAATTTTACTTGTGTACCCCTCAAGGCCTAATTAAACTGCCTACTTTTTTTAATCAAAATTTCAACTTTAAAAGGTAACATGCCAGAAAGGGTTAAAGAATAAAAATTATTTGATGCACAATAAGTGTTTAACATTATGAAACCATGAAACAAATTTTTAATCCATCACATAACCTCAGAAAAATGTTACTAATATAATTAATTATATATTTAAAAAAAACTTCCTTAATAATGTTAAAAAATGGGACTAGTAAAGACTAATGATATGAAAAAATTGAAATTGCTGAGTTATTAAGAATAAAAATAATTACCACATATTTCTGTTAGCTAAAAAATTTTTGGTGATCATGCAGAATATGACGTACTGCTTTTAAAAATATGCATAACTTATAGAAGGTAAAAAATAATTTTAAGGCAAACTTCATTTTAATGATCCAAGCACCCTTTTCTGAGCATTAGCTTTGAACCAATCTAATCCAAGCCTTTGGATAATAATACTAATTAGATATACAGAATGGTTATTCAAGGTAGTCTCATTAAAAGTAAATTCTGAAAATGATTCATTTTTTAAACCACTAATTTATGTTACAAGGTATTCCATCCGGCGAGGGCATATTTTTTCCAGATTTCTGCTTCAAAATATCCTAATGGCTCTACAGAAGCATCTGAACTAAAAGTTCATGGATGATAATTCATCACCATCAGGATTAGGCGATTGGGTCCCCTAATATTTTTTCCAGATTTCTGCTTCAAAATATCCTAATGGCTCTACAGAAGCATCTGAACTAAAAGTTCATGGATGATAATTCATCACCATCAGGATTAGGCGATTGGGTCCCCTAATCCCCAGTCGCCCTTTAACCCATTCAGTACGGGCGTGTCATATTTGCATCAGCAGCAAACATTACCTCACGGCCGGGTGTGTCATATTTGAATCGCCATTTAATTCACTCTATGGCCAGTCGTACCACATTTGACTTTTTAGATAGAACATTTAATATTTTTTTATTGCCGCTAGATGTAGCTGTATGTCTGTTATAGTGAAACATATCGAAAGTTAAGTATGTTTACCTTCATTCCTACGCAATGTTTTTTGCTTTTGTTATTTCATTTGGGAATGAGAGCGAGATTCATGGGTGGATGTTGAGCAATGTAATGTCTCTTTAGCTGCGTCATTTGATATAAAAAAATGCATGTGTTCCCCCTGCATTGAGGTATTTTTCATTTTTATTTTTGTGATATAGTAGGATAGATGTTCTATCATTAGAGTTTTTTTATTACTCGTAGATTTTTCCTTTTTTTATTACTTTTAGATTTTTCCAGCATCGAGATTAATATTTTGTATCGTCAGCGAAACTCATTTTTTTAATGGCAAACGAAAGCAGTACTTGAACTTAGAATATACACAAATGCTAATTCGTTAAGTGCTGAATAATGTAATGGCTCTTACTGAGTCATTTTATATAAACAAATGAACATGTTCTCGATGGTCTGGAATACTTTTTACTTTAATTTATTAATTTTTCTAATTTTTATTTTTTATCTCGTTATAGTGGAGTAGATGTTCTATCATTAGAAACTTTTATTATTCTTTGAGTTTTACGGCATTGAGACAAATACTGTGTATCGCTCAGCAAAAGGTGATTTTTTTTTTTTTTTTTTTTTTAATTTTTTGAATGACAACACGACAGCACTATCTGACTGTAGAACAACATACATAAATGCTAAATGAGTCAAATTTGCTGAGTAAAATAGCAGCAGATATTCTATTCCTGTGACATATGCAACATTGGGCTTTACGTACACCCATGTTTCGAAGAATATCATACACTGTCTCTTTTTTGAAATACTGCTTCCTTTTCGTTGCTTGTACGTTGAATTTTATGAAAGACAATTTTAATATCTTTTAATTTTAATTATGTGTTGTGTTAAATAAAATCTGCAATTGTTTGGATACTTTTCCATATATATTTATTTGTGGGATAAGGGGAAAATTATATTATTCTAGAATGAGTATTTTATAAAATTTTTAAGGAAAATATAATAATAAAGCTTTAAAATTAATTCTGACAACTATCCGAATGTTCTCATAATGTACTAAAAATTGGAACAATTGGATGAAAAATTTAATTTATACGAATTTTTCTGATAATTTGATGATTTGATTGAATATTTGAATTTGTTTCCAAAGTTAGGCTTAGCAGCGCGAATTGTCTGTCCCCACAAGACGACGCATCCGGTTAACGCGCCATCCAAAGACAATGCTTCGGTAACAGAGATTCCTATCATGAACGGGTTAAAAGGGGGAGTATATGAGGTATTTCCTCCCTTCCAGCATGCCCTTGTGGTGTAATGGTAGTACACTCAGTGCATATTCAAGATGTCCAGGCTCGAGTCTCAGCAAGGGCATTACTCCTTTTTTATATCTCCTGTTTCAAAATAGCCTAATGACTCTGCAGTGTTTTTAACAAATACTTTTGAAAAATAGCAGCTGTTTCAAACTCAATTCAGTTCTGCAGCCAACTAGCTAAAAGTGGTAGCATCCTAAATCATTGCCAAATGTTTAGCATATTTTTTCTGATGAAATTTAGGAGTCACATCAAATTCAAGATGATTCACAAACAATCTAATAAAAATTATACATTAAATGATTAAAAAATACTTTTATTTAATCCTAATATATAATAATCAAACTTTTCATTATAGATATCCGATTCAGAAACAGGTTGTAGATGAATGTAAAGATACCAACCTTGCAGAAAGGAGGAAATGTTAATCTCCCAGCAGGACAGGTGGTAAAGACAATTTGATTGCATTGGACAACAGTAAGGTAGGGAAATAAAAATTTTAGAATTCAGAGGAGCAAAAGTTACAGATGCCAAAATATTTAGAATTTAGGAAAATCACAGGGCAGGAGCATTTAGCGATGGGAAAATTTTTAGATTTTAGGCAGGTATGCTTCAGCAGAATTTAGGATTTGCAGAGACTGCAGCAGGCTGCAAATGCATAGTGCCAGGCCTGCAACCCTCAAAGGCCAAATGTGTGATCCTGGCTAACATCAAAACAACACCAATCCGTGTATTGCTATTGCCCGTGATGCGACTGCCTAGCTAATGGGGGCTCGGAAATGACATGCAAGAATCTCAGTTAATTAGGAAGAAAATCCCATTCACAGCTTTTCGTTGAGTATTATACTCTCCATACTAGATTTTATAAGAGGGGGATGATTTTAATTATTGATTTATTTTTTGTCCAAAGATTTAGATGTTAAATCAATGTAGATACTGGAAGTCCAGATTTCAGAATTCATAGTGTATTAGACAGCTTATAAAAATATACATTTTCGAGGTGCTTATACAGCTGCACCTACGTCTGGCCCATTTGTTAAAAAAACAGTTATGCAAATGTTATTTTTATTTGACCAGGTTATTTCATATTCAAATGAAGTTCTTAAGAATGTCAAATGTCATTTTGAGTAGCTGTTTCTAATTGCTTTTAACTGAAAAATAAACAATCAAAATTTTCATGTTTCAAAAGAACTTACCATTTAGAAGTAATATAACACTTGGTAACCTTTGCACTGGCCTAATTAGGAGTTCTTGTAAAGTTTGTCTCCCACATTCTGGCTTGCTTTGACAGCGCTGAAAGTAAAGGATCTGTGTTCAAATACAACTCATACACAGAAGTCTTGTTTTAAAAAATTAGATATATATAAAATTACTTTTCACTGATTGTAATTTTAAAGTTTAATTTAGAAATTTGTTCTAACTTTAAAGAAGACAAGTTTAAAAACATTTAAAAAACAGATTGTGAACCTACTTTACAAATAGATGTTAAATTCAAAAATTCAATTTTATTGTTTTAAAGAAAAGATTAGTGTTGGATTTTTATAATTAAAGCATTATTTTCACCCACTGGATTTAGTGTCATTGTGCCCCAACTAGCTGCTAGCAATTTCACACTTTGTAATGAAACCAATACTTTAACATGAAGCAATATATTTTCAAGTACTAAAATGTTTGTAACTACAGAACTTAAATAATCGTTTAACACACACTTCTTTTCTCAAAAGATAACATTTCTCAAAAACTAATTTAAACAATTTTTTATTTGCTATAATTTACAAAATTTAAAAGTAATAATGTTTATGAAATTTAACACGTTGACTGCCCAACACAAGATAACTCAAATTAGTGTTCTTTTTCAGGACGCCGAATATGAGTTATCTCGTTGTTTCTTGACTTGCCACTTTTGCACCACTACGAGTTAGTCCATAGTTTATAAGTGCAAATATGAATGGATGGCCTCCTGGAAGAAAATAAACAATCAAGTTTGGCATATACAAACAGAAATTTTATTGAAAATGAACCAAAAATATATACATTCAATGTTTATTCATTAGTTAAAAAAAAAAAAAAAGAATATATTTATTATTTGTGATAAAATTTTAAACAGTCTTCAACACAAAGAGCTGGCTTCTCGGAATAATACGATTAAATTGATTTGGTTTCTCAGACCAGTATCCGAAAAGTCCCATGGTAATCAACGTGTTAAATTGTAAAAATCCACTTGACAAAAAAAAAAAAGGGGGGGGCATTAATATAATGAAATTTATATGGAATTATTAAAACTTAAGATCCTGCACAAAAATAATACAAAACCTACAACTTTTCATTAATCATTCATTATCATTTCATTCCAAAGCACTAAACTCTAGACAGAAAAAGGATTCCAAATTTTATTCACTCAAAGCTCTTTTTTCAATTGAATAAAATTTTATAGCTCTTCCTTGTCGATTTGAGCAAACTATTTGCTGAAATCCGTCATGCATTAACCCCTTCGCGCCGACTGTCACGTCTACGTGCCAACAACGAACAAACTCACCTACCAGCCGACACGCAGGCATGACAGAGCATTTTCCCGTTTACTACCTACTGTCACGTATTTGTGCCAACGTCCTGGAACGTTTTTCAAACCATAATTTCTGCCACAAGATGGCACTGTATGTCCATATGGTTTCAGATACATGTACATTAGACCTACTCGAAATGAGAGAAGCATGACTCACATACACGTGTTTTTGATTATATAAACAAACGGGAACTAAATGTTTCCGAACAGCGTGATTTATGACGTCTCTTTAAATCGCACTTTATTCGCACGTGGTAGTTGTTTATTGTAAGTAGAAGTTTTATATGCGCTAAAGCATTGAGTATTTCGGTTTACAGTTCAGTTTTTAGAAAATTATATCTTGTTAGATGTGAATTGTTTCTGTTCTTACCGTTGCAATGTCGAAGCGTCGAAAATGTTTAACAGAGCATGAAATAAGAGACTGATAAGAAAACGAGACGACAATGCTTCGTTTGTTCACATTCCCGAAAAAATCCTCCAAAACGGCAAATGAGTTATTATGAGTTCAAGGAATGTAATGTAGGACTGTGTGTAGATCCCTGTTTTCAAATTTTTCATACGAAAAGAGAATTTTATTTTAAGTAATATATTTAGTTTTCAGATGTATAATGTTAAAAGTCATAAAATGGTGAGTAATTAAAATAAAATGTGTAAAATATGCATTTAAACAAGAAATAAGGTAATTAAAGTATATATATAAAAATATCTATAAAGCATAAGCCATTTAAATACTCTATAGAGCATCATTAAACAATGCGTTGATACTTCGGAAATTTCATGGATTTAGGCTTAGTAGCAAAAAAGCCCCCGGCCCTGGAGAGACGCTCGCGGAAGACACTGCCGGCCTCCGCGATAAGGGCGCGTTTTGCGCTACCCGGCTCGAAAGGGTTAATAGTAAAATCTAAGGGTTAACGAATATTTAATAAAAAAAAAAATTAAACAAAATATGTTTATGTAACCAAAAACTAAATTTTATAGAAAAAATTAACAACTTTAATATACTTTTTACTGTACATAAGCTCCAAAAAGCATAAAATATTATTTAAATATTAAAGTAAATCACAAATTAGGAATACAAAAAGAAGTTATAGTCATAATCAAAATCATAATGATCAAAATAATAACTGGTTAATTAACAAATGAAGCAAGAACAAGTGGTACTGAACCCTTTTTTACCCATGCACATCTTCTCTGTAATAGATCATTCTTCTTTCTCAATCGCAAAAAAAAAAAAAAAAAAAAAAAAAAAAAAAAAAAAAAAAATCACAATTACTGCATTGGTTTTACATTTCGCGGTCCCACTATTCAAGTACTTTTTACTAGAAATGGGGATAAGAGAAGGCAACAAAGGCACGAGACATCACAATCTGATATAGGAGTTGAAAACCAGTTCATGAATAGAGGGAAAAGAATGAAACTTAGAAGGAAAAATAAATATTTTCCCCCTCCCCGCATCTGAACAGAACGCTGTGTTAAGTTAAAAGGTGAAGCAGAAATAACCGATATAAAATATTGTGAAAAGCCTTCTCATAAAAAGATAAAATTCAAATCTTAAAAGAATTTGACAGAAAACAGATTTTGACGAAAGTTGAGTTAGAAAAGAAACTGGATATTCCTGTGAAAACACTAAAAATTGTTTTTTATGATAGGAAAAAAAAGTTACAGAAAGAGCAGAAGTCTGTAGACAGTCCACTTCAAAGAAATGACATATTCAAGATGAAACCTTTCCTGAATTGGATTACTCAATTACGGCAAAGCACACAAGGGCTATTTGCCTGAAGGGAGGGATGCTTGGAGGACTTTCTAAGGGAAACTGGCTCGTATACACGTTACATATGGGGAAAACCACAAAAAAGCCAGCCCGTTCGCGGGATTTGAACCTCGGACCAAACTACCAGTGTTCACCATCTTTACCACTCGGCCACTGGTGGGCCTGAAACTTTTCCTGAGGCAAAGCCATTTTGCTAAAATTTTCCGTTCAGTGTTGTGCATCCAGTAGTCCACTGAATGGCTCCATGTTAATAAAAAAGTAAAAAGAAATATCCCTTTGACTAAATGTGAAGGAAGCTTGCTTTTCAACTGGATGGCTGCCCAAATTTAAACTGCATCATGAAATCTCATGTTGTATCATAAATGGAGAATCAAAAGGTGTTCTTGCTGAGCTGATGGAAGATTGTTTAAGACTTTATCCACCAAAACAGATGATTATTATTTAAAAATCATTTTTAATGTTGGTGAAACTGCTCTTATATTTTACTTTATGCCTGCAAGAGCCGTAGCTTTCAAAAGTGACCAGTGCTATGGAGTTAAGCAAAATAAAGAACGTCTCACTGTTTTACTTTTTACAAATCAGGTTTCTTACACAATTCTGCATGTGGAAATTAAGTACTTTTTTAGGTCCATCAATTAAAAAAAAAATTTAGGACCTATCAAGCAAATAGCAACTGAACAAACTAAAACAATTATGTACACAAAACTTTGCACTTGTAATAAAACTTTTATAATTTGTAAGAATAAAATAAATTTGCGAGATATATTATTTTAATATATTAATTTAATTTTAATATAATATTTCATTAAATTATAAAATTTCTTGAAACATATACCCCAACCACTTTCTTTTCAAAATGCTACCTAATACATTGGCATCCTCAGAAATTTCTTTGTGTGTAATAATACAAGTGAAAAAACGTTTTAGCCATTTGCCTGATTATCCCGAGTTATCTTGGGTTCGTATATATTGCAGTTAATTATTATCCTGGGAAAACTCGAAGCAGAGTTTGTTAGTACAATTTGTTTTACGATGGTTTTACTTGGCCTTGAGGAAATGAAAGGAAATATTCAGCTTTGATTGGCAGTTTGCCAAGTTTTGTTGGTTGCACGGTTCTTTTGGCAGGACTGGTTACATGTTTCCCTATTGTATAGCATACATTGGCTTGTGGATTAGTAATATATAAAGAAGGATACTTGCATTAAAAAAGTAAAATAATGGATATGATGCAAGACAGCGAAAGCAATGATTTTTCAGATAGTAATCATGAAGAGGTGGGGAAAAAAAATTAAAAAGAAAAAAATCAAATCCAACAGCACAGTGTACTCTGTGCTTCCGTAGAAGGGATTCCAGCGGTAAGTCAGCAAGAAAAGAGACCAGATACCAGAGCACAGATCGCTCGTTTGGCGACATGCATAGAAGGATGGAAAACCTTCTGGAATGAATTCCTACTGGTTCAGCACAGAATGTTCTCGAACACAAGCCAAAAGCTATGCAAACCCTGCTGGTATGTAGCCAGTCAGTTAGTCCGTGCGGAGTCCATGGAGTAGATAGTCAGCGAGTGCCTAATCTAGGGCCGAGTTGGTCATCGAGTGCACCGAAAGAGTTTCTTAGTGTATCGCAGTTAGTGCATCATCAAGACAGTGCGTTTAGCTCCGGGAACGACGAAACTGAGGAATCGGGAGCTGTACTCCAGTGTATCATCAAGTGCATCGCAAGTTGTAGCATGGAGAGTCAAGAGAGTGTGTGAAGTTCCAAGAACGACCGAGCAGAGTCAGGAGCTGTACTCTGGTGCTTTTCCGTGAAGCTGTCTTCACCATTATAGCCCGATTGCCTAAAGGCTGTGTCGCTGATTTTTACAACATGTTTATGGTAGTTCTTCGATGACTGTAAAAAAACGTGATTTTGGAGCTGTCCTGAGAATACTAGCCAATAAAGTGTGGTTTGATACTTCCTCAAGAAGTGCCGTTGTTATTCACTCCAAATCGCACAAACCCGTACGACATACGTAGGACAAAAAAACATAACAAACTAATAGTGAAATTACGAAGTCACCATTTGCAAGTATTGACCCATTAGAAAGTTCATGTAATGCTGAAATGGAAGAAGCTGATGTACACTGGGCAAAAAAAGGGGGCAGTTGTATATCTCCCGTTTTACTGGGAGGATTGAAAAAATTCAACTTCCGTTTTTCATGTCTCGAAAGCGCGACTTAGGATATGTGTTAGATTTATATATAGTATTGTTCTAATATAGGTATTTTGACATAAAATCGGACTTTTTTTATATAACATACCAATATATGATTATAGAATGTTGTATCATCCCAAATTTGTAATTTATTAAAAATTTATAAAATGGACATTTCTACACAGAATTTAATTATTAAACAAGTCATTTGAAATATTAGCTGAAGTAAGCTGTTCTCAATGAAAGAATATTATTTACCTTTAAAAATGCATGAAATCTTGGCTTTGTTGAATCACAGTTGGCTAAAACAACTTTTGTTTTTTCAAAGAAATTGACGAATGGAGGGTATGCTTTCATAAATTCTGGTGCCTATTAACAAAGACTTAAAATAAACAGAGAAGAATTATTAAATAAATTACATATATAAGTAATGGATTAAAAAAACTTACATGGGATAAAATTAGATTGCCAATGCTATGGTCCTCACTCCAGTTGTTGATTATGTTTGCTAATTCATTTCTGATTTGTTGATGAATCTCATAAATGGGAAGTAAATTACCAAATATGATTTTTATTTCTGCTGGGGCAAGTAATGGACCACCAATTTGTTCAGGATGCTCCAATGGTTCCTTGAAAACCTGAAAATAAATATTAATGTTTAAAATTATAAAATTTTTTAATTATTTTGCACTTATAATGCAAAAAATAGTTCTAATTTAAATGTGCAGTAACTGAAAGGAATGTAACATACTGACATAGAACTTTCAGCAATTTTTAAAAAGAAATTCAGACTTCAACAATGAAGGGAAAATATTCCAATAATTTTGGTACACAATTCTTTGTTAAGAAACTTTGAATAAATTGAGCAATTTTTTAATAGAAATTATGAATTAAGCTTATCTTCCTTAACTATTTCTAGTCAAGCAATTTTAGATTAATCTTAATCTTGCATACATTTTCACTTAAGATTACTTTTAAATTCAATCACCTACATCTGTGTTCCTCACATTTTTTTAAGGCATGAATGTCTTTTATGAATTAGAATGTTCTGTAGACTACCTTACTCTTGTTCCCTTGGACAGCAATTTTTTTAGCATATGTATATTTACACTTTTTAATATACAATAAAAATTCATTTAATTTCCTATTAGTATTAATTAAATTAACAAAAGAGAATTTATATGCCAAGGCTATTAGAATATGAATAATCTTTTTCTTATAAACTAAAAATTAAACTTTGGAATTCGCATTAAAATGGAAGAACCTGCCAATTCTTGCATACTTGTTGTATGTTGGAATGTGTGTGGGTAAGAAGCACCACAGTCACAGTGCTTTAAATCCCTCTTTTGTTGCTAAGACTAGAATGGAAAATCCTAGGTAAACAGTAACAAACTTCATAAAATGTCAACCTTAGTGGGAGAGGAAGTGATAAATGATTGCCATGTGCAATTTCCAGTCTCTGATATTTTTGGCTCTGCTGTGGTAAAAAACAGAGTTAACTCGAATTTTATTTTGAAAATTTAACAGGATCACAAAGGGAACCTAATCTAAATCTAACAGAACCAACTTCAAGGATCACATGTGGTTTGCAGACCACAGACTGAGAAGCACTGACCTAAATTACAACAAAGTTTAAAATGTGTACTGTGAAAACTTATCATTAATATTAATCATGACATTATTAATCATATTAATCATGACAGCAGAAGGAGAAGCTCATAGATGAATAGCAACTTCCACAATTTCAGTTATCCAGTACATAATTAGAAAAAAATGCTTTGCTCCTTTAATTCTTTAAAGAAATTTTCATTTCTTAAAGCTTCAACTAATATTTCTAAATTTTTACATACTTGCCAACCTATGACACTAAAAAATCAGGAGATTTTTTTAAGAAATCAGGAGATTTTTCACAAAATGATAGAAATATAGTTTTTAATAATGAAGTAACTTTAAATAGTTACTAATTCTTAAATGCAAGCAACACAAAAATAACTTGCACATAAAAAACATTTTTATTACTTGCATCGTTTAAGAAAACAAAAAGACACTTTAAATCAGTTTTCGTACAAATCTTATGAACAGTGGCAGATTTCTGCTTAGCTAAACTTCGAGTAATCAGAAAATGTTTCGTGTGTTGAGCAATTTTTATTATTTTGAGATAAATTTGTATCAGCTTTATGCTTATATTTTGCAGTATTATTTTGAGAATTGCCAGTTGAATTGCTGAATGGTGCAGAAATTACTTCATTTTTCTCAAACCTATTTTTAACAATGGAAGTAGTAACTACACATCCATTTACTTTAGGTATTTCATAACTTTCAATACAGCCTTTTATCTTAACTCTCGAAGCATTTACTTCTTTAAAAAATGCAAGAAGGTTCCATTGATCGAGGATTCTAGATAAGCATTTCTTTAAAGACAGCCAGACACATGTTTCAAAACTTTTCTCATTTCAGTATTATGCAGCTGTTGGAACTGTTTCAATTTTTCCTTCCTTTTAGAACTCCTTTCAAGAAAATAATAAATATCAACAATGTGTTCATCCACATTTATTGGTAAAGAAGCTGCCCCTTTTTTAGCTGCTAAATTTAAAAGGTGACAGGTGCACCTCATAATCTGCAAATCTGAATTCGCCTTTCTTAAGATGCCTGCAACACTAGTCTTCAAGCCTACCATTAGTGGTGCATTATCGGCACCAAGTGCTAAGCAATTATCCAGAGGAACTGCATTTTATTTTAAAGTTTTAATAATTAGGTGTGCTATATTAAAGCCTGTCGAATGTCCTCCTAAAGTGAGGACAGAAAGTAAACTGCACTCAATTTCTGAAGACTCTGGATTTAAAAAAAAAAAAAAAAAAGAAACAACAATTAGATACAGTTTTGAATCAGTATTATTGCTTCCATCCGTAGAGAGGCAGAACATTTTAACGCAATCAATAACTGAAGATTTATTTTTCAAACCCATTTCTTTAACAGTTGCACATGTTTTGGTCCTTGCAATCGAGTATTTTTAGTGATTTCACTATTGGGAAACATTTTTCTAAATAAAGCTGCAGCGTGATCCTATGCATTCAGTGGCAGGTTGTGCTCCAGTAAAAAGGCAGAGAATAGACATTCTGCATTAATAACTTTTTGGTCCTTTGTTTCCGAAGAAAAATTTAATTTTTTGATTTTTTTCAAAACAACTCACGTTGTTCTTGTGTTTTTGTGTACACACATGATTGAGAACGTTCTACCATGCAAAATCGAAAAATCACGACGACAGACGGTACACATCGCAAATTTATTACATTTTCTTGAGGAAATAATGGAAGGAAAGTCAACTGTGTAATATTTTTGAAACGAACAGGAGTATTTCACCTTCTCGCAGACATAACAAAAGATGATAATTTCTAAAACTATTTCCCGAAGGCACGTGTACTCACACAACTCAAAACAAGATGAACGAAATAACTAAAGAACGTCCAACTAACAGCCTTGAGCTTGCTTTGTGCTCATTGGCTAATATATGCCAGATGACACGCAGTGGAGCTCGATGCCCATTGGAGAGCGATGTTTCTGGATATGTATGCTCTCACTCACAAAACAGAAATTCTCATCTGATTCGCAAGGTTTTGTTTTACAGGGTTCGTACACATTTCCTTACATGAAAATTAAGGACTTTTAAGGACCATCAAAGAAAAAATTAAGGACCTATCAGGGGGGGAAACCAAATAGAATAAAGCAATTATCCATTTAAGAAACTAACAGAAGTGTGTATTATGCACTATTATTAAATTCATTAAATTCCATTTAATACTTAACATAAAACAATTTTGAAAACTAAACTAACTCCCTACAAGTTATGAAGTAGATACCATTAAATTAAGAACATAATTTCTTGAAAAACTTGTATGTGTGTATTTCACACTAATAACAGCCACAGATATTTTAGAGATTTGCATGATTATTATTTAACTTATTTGATATTTATTTAAACACAGTCAACTACTATTATAATTGCAATGTAAGAATATTTTGCAGATTAAAATAACAGATTTGTAAACATACAATTTATTTCTTTGGTTTTTTGAAAAATACTAGAATAATAAACTATGCAATAAAAGATGCAAATATTTATGCTTTTTTAAAATCTGAAATTTTTTCAGATATTTTAACATCTAATTTATTTATGTCTATTTCTTTTTCTTTAACTATTCTTCTAAGTTCATTTGTTTTGATAAACAAATCAATGTTCCTGCTGGTCTTGGCTTCACCTGCTAAAAGCATCTATCGAAGCTGCTGCTGATCTTATTTCTTTATTAATTTTGATATTAAGAATACCTCCAGAAAATTTTATGTAATCAAATACTGTGCATTGAGAAATGTATGATGAGTCACTTAAATTTTCAATTTCAACTGCTTTATTTACAGAGAAGCCCCTTTCCACAAAGGCCTGTCCATGTGACAAGATAAGAATCACTTTCACCATTTTCCATAGTTTTAGAATAGTGAAAATCATGAAAATAAGAAGTGAGAAATGCGTCGAGAAAGATTTTGAGAATCAAAAGTAGAAAATTCATGTAAATTTGTCTATGTCTAGAAGCTCTCCAAACTGCAGCAGAATTTCACATCACAATTACCTTGTAAAACACGTTTATTCTGCATTAACACAGTTAGAACTATTTTCATTTTGTTCTGGACTTTTAGCCATCAACAGTGGGTCTATACAAGATGCATTTCGAATAAGAAAATAATTTATTGGACATATCGCCATTAAGTTTTGTACCATTGTTAAGACACATTGTTGACCTTCTTGTTTCAATGCAAAACTTCAAGCTTGTGAAATGTCCTTCTTGCGGCATTTATCATTCATTAACTGCTCAGCAATGAATCCCAAATAAACTTTACTTTTATCATTATAATAATTTGGATCATTAAAATTAAATTTATAAAGATTTTCTGCTTGAGTTGTTTTTGAATATTCTAGTTTTAAAATTTTAAAGCGCTAAAAGCAATCATTTACAAGTTTTAAGATATCTTCAGCAAAAAAGGGAATAAGTGGTTTATCGCTTTGATAATATTCAAAGAAAGGCAATAATATTTTCAGCAGAGAGAGAGAAGAAAATTTAATTTTATAAAAAATGTTTTATCCTTAGTTGCCTCCAAAATATTTGAGAAGGATTTCAATGAATTTTTTTAAACTGCCCCTTTTCAACTTTTTTAACATATAGTAGCAAGTCATCCCATATTTCAATGGCTCTTTCAACTGCTGGGACATTTTGCAACCATCAGTAAAAGCAGAACTTCACAGCAGAAAATTTTAATTAAAACATTATTTCTTTATCTATCAGATGATGGATCAAAGATAAAAATTCTGGAATAATTGGTTTTATTGTTAAACAAAAATGTATGAATTTTTCTTAGGCATTATATTTTAACTCTTAAAAAAATGTACTATCTCGATAAAAGATTGCGACATCGCAAAATATTCTAGGCAAGCATTCCTGCAGAGATTCCGTTACATCGCTAAAATTGCTATAAGAATGCTATATTGGCAATACCATGAACACGTTTTCTCCGTGTAGCAACCATTCCGCTTATCGGTCATTTTCTTTTAATTTATTAATCTTCCGTTTCTTTTATTTTTTCTTTATCATTTCAACACTGACTTTTTATTCAGGATTTAGCTTCTATTTTAATTTCTAGTTATAAATAGGTGAAATTAGCTTAATAACAAAAAATAATTTCAATCATTATCAGAATGAAATTTTATATCGACCAACTATTTGGATAACTGATGCGATATTAAAATTCAATAACATTCTTCTGAAAGCAGTATTTCTTTTATAAAAATACTTAATAAAATTCTAATAGACGGTGCAACCTTGGTGCAATTTTGAAAATTATCGCCAACACCAAAATGACCCGTTTAACTACTCATCGTTTATGTCCCGTTTACTGCTCATCATAAAGTTGCCAAAAGTAGCCAAATCCCTTATGCAACGGATACCTTGTGCATAGGATTAAACCAAATACTTAATTGTCTATTGAAGCTTCAAAACGTATTTCCGAACTTCACTTTTTTTCGGCTAGCATTACCGAATTTGCCCTTGGCGACCTAAAATCGAAATGGAGCCAATAGATTTCCCGCGAAATTGATAACAGACCCTCTGCAGAAATAAACTCATAATCCCGATATCCCATACATATATGTGCAAAGGAGAATAAACTCCGTAGAAGGTGATCAAAAATTAATTTATGGCTTAATTCACACAAACAAAGAAATTAAGGTAAGCAAAACCGTGTAAAAACAAATTGAAATGATAAAACGAAACTTAACTTAAATGTGAATTTTCAGCGCTGACTCTCCCATTCTAGAAATTTCAATTTGTTTCAGACAAAGACCACATTTAGCTTTATAAGGATTGTCATCCATCAATATCCAGTCTTTGTAGTCAGCTTGATGAAGCCACAGTTTATTGAAAATGCACTTTCCAGGCATCTCGTTCCTATTGGCGTCGGAGGGGTTGTGGCCTTCCAGGTTGGGATTGTTCTAATTTTGGCAAATATTTTCAGAATCCCCCCCCCCTTTTTTTTTTTTTTTTCCTCGAGCACCTTTATCATCACTTTCGCCTCTTAAAGAACTTCCGGCTTCACGCTTTCATCACAATCTGCATAAATTTATGGATAACACCTGTTTCGAAAGAATGGGTGAATAGCCAATCAGACACCAGATACTTTCGTCCTAGGGTAGCTACCAATTGTTTTTTTATCGTTTGCAATGCAAATCCGCCAACAGATTGGTTAAGAGGTGTGTAATTTTAATTCCATATTCATGAAAAATCGCATTTCACACTTATAATGGCAATCATTAGAAATGATAAGAAATGTCAAATGAGAAAAATTAAGGACCATTTATTCATTTTGACCAAAATTAAGGACTTTTAAGGACCGTACGAACCCTGTTTTAGATATGATCTAGAGAAAATTCAATTGCTTTCAGACATCCAAAATCACTTTTTTTTTTTTTTTTGTGTTGTGTGTGTGTGTGTGTGTTCATATAACGAAGTATTAAGCCAAGTTCCATAAAAATCGTGAGAAATTTTAAGAATAAGAAAAAGTCGGGAGAAATATATTGTAAATCGGGTTGGCGGGAGATTGGTCGAAAATCGGGAGTCACCCACCTAAATCGGGAGAGTTGGCAACTCTGTTTTTACATTCAGAGCAGTACTGATTTCCACAGAAAATTTACTACAGTTGAATTTGTTCAAGAAGAATTAATAAAAACTGTCTTATGGAATTTACTTAGCAAAACCATGTCTGAGTATGTAATTAATTATCACATTAAAATAGTCACTAATAATGAAAGATTGAATTTGAGTTGAAATGTAAAGTACGAAAATATTTTAATTATTCAATGCTGAATAAGCTGTTTTATAGATATATTTTAGTAACCAATTTATTCATATAACGCGTATTTAATAAATAAAGATTTACAAACAGAATATGAGAAAAATTAAAATCTGAACTATTTCAGTCAAAAGAAATTACCGTTATGATCGTATTCAATATTCCCACATAATTGCTCTCTGTTTGATATAACTCAAAGCAAACCTGCTGCCTTGCAGTAAGTGTACGCATATCTAGTGGTGGGCTTTTTATCAAAGCTTTATCAAAACTGGCATCAGCTGATATATCTGCAAAAGAAACAATTTCGTGCTTAAATATAGAAATGCCTTCATTAACCTTTTAAATACCTCACTATGATTGATGATTAAGAAGTATTGTCTCATTAAAATTACATTAAAACACAACTATAAGAACCATAGGAAAATAAATTTCTGAAAAAAATGTTTGTCATCGATTCTCAGCCTGTTCCCATTGGAAAACATTGATATACATGATATATTTTTTAACATGTTTCTTCAATTGTAGTAAATTAGCATTAAAACTTGGCTTATACTCACAAATTTTAAATAGTTCTGATTAAAGTTTTAAATTTATTGTAGAAATAAATATATTAAGCATTGAAATACCTTTAAAATATAAAGTTATTTTTAAACATACTTATAAATGAAAATAGGGAAATTTTTAAAAAAAAATTGAAACAGTTTTTATATATGAATACAAAATAGTTCTAAAATTTTAAGATTTATTAGAAAATGACATATGTTAAACTTCAGTCATCTATAAAGCATACAGTTCTTTATCAATATACTTATAAAAGAAATTAGGAATAAAAAAGTACAAAAGCCGATAAAAATATAGGAAGAAAATGATTTACAAAGACCTAAAAAAATGAACACTAACAATCTTGCAAAATATTTGCAGACTTTTTTTTAACATTTAAATTCTGTTCATTTTCATGGTACTAGGTAAAACATTTTTTCTGCAATCTGCTTTTCCACTCAAAGCACATTTTTCTAGTGCTTTTATGGCACACAATGCAACGTTCCTGAGAAGACTATGAAGTAATATGCATCAGATTTTCTTAAAACTTGTGACTGATGTGCAAGAGGTCCAGGAACACTATGAATTTTCAGTTTCATTCAAAGTAAATTTAAAATTACTTAATTATTAGGTTAATTCATTAGGCTTTTTGAAGCAAGAGATGTGAAAAATTTGCAGTGCCCTTGCAGAGACTCAAACCCTTGACCTCTTGAATATGCCCGAGTGTGCTTACCATTACACAAAGAAGGCATGCTGGGAAGAGGGAGAAAATACCTTATAATTTGCCTTCAAAAGTTGAAATGGGACGGTATTCGAGCTGTGTTCTTATGTGCATATGTATGCAGAATCCATTCAGCAACAACTGCCATGATCAGCATATTGTTGAATATATTCCAGTACCATTTTATTTTAAAACAGAAGCCAATAAGTCTCAAGAAGTCGATCTAGTGAACATATACTTACTATTCCTTCAATTACACATCTTTATAAAATATGACTCAGTTCTTTTCTCCTGTACTCGGCAAGGCGTTTTAAATTACTTAGAGGCTTAAGGGGTGAATAATGGGATGCTGTAGTTACTACAGCACTATCTTTCCAGCAACATATGCATACTTTACCATCAGTTCAAAAATCAAGCTTTCCTCTCTGCCATTTTGAAATTACCTTAACTAGAGAGCACCTTTCTGTTCGACTCCTCTGAGCTGTTCGAATTTACTTTAAAGCCTTTACCAAATAAGTCAGTGATCAGTTTATATAACATAAAATTTATCAAATGACTTCATGTTTTTCAGGGTTTCTAACATGAGATAAAAATTCCCATACAACTCTAGATCCCATGGATCAGGGTTGGTACACATTTCTGCGCACGGAAATTAAGTACTTTTAAGGACTTTTAAGGACCATTAATGAAAAAAATTAAGGACCTATGAGCAAATGGAAACTGAATAAATTCAATTAAAAATATTATTCTATGCCTGAATTTCACTTTCATAATACCATTCTAAAAATAAAATAATAGATCCCTAAGTAGTATGCACTATTACTAAACATGAATTAACTAACATAATTATTAATAAGTTTGAGAGTAAAATAAACTTCATGCAGTTTATCAAGTAGCATTAAATATTTTACACTTATAATATAGTTGGACATATTTAAAAGAAGATAAGAGACATTTACGTTTTACTAATAGTTAGCTATGTCTTATTTTGTTACATACTTGGTCAGTCAAGAGGTTTAGCAAATAGTAGGTAGATTTTATGTCAAATGGCATAGGTCAAAATGAGAAGTGAGATCATAATCAGCATGATTCATAACAAAAGACTGAATATTGTCCCTCTGCTGCTTGTCTATAGAGAGATCTGCTGATTGGAACAAACCTGAAAGGTCTGATGTAGGCATGGTTGGCAAGTGTTGAAAGTTAGTCAAGCTCTGCTTAATGCAGTTAATGCCATGGCTTTGTGTAGAGTTCCAGGGGTTATAACCCAGTTAATATATTTTAAGGTTCCAATAAGCCATTAAAGCGGTAGAGGTGATAAGTTGTTTTATATATAAGTCTCAGTAGATGCAAAGACTATGTTTTACTTGATGGTGTTGATGGTTACTTGATGGGTGTTGGATGATGTAATCAGAGACAATCACATGGGAGAAATGCTTACTATGAAAAAATTAAAAAGAAGACATTTTAATTAATTACATAGCTAATTTTGCTTTTACTAAGAGCTGTTTCATAAATTATGCTTTATAGCTATATACCTTGTTTATTTTTCAGATTTAAAATATTGTATAATAAGTTGCCAAAATGAAACTTTATAATATGACAGTGAAAAATAAAAGTATTTTATTCTAATGTTATTTTTTAAATATAATTCTAATATATTACCATTATTTTAATGAAATTTATCAAAGTTACGATGTTTTAAGAAATCGCCGAAAAATTCTCAGATCTCGGAATTAAAAATTTTCTGTAGGAACTGATCTTAAAATCGCCAAAATGTTGACAAGTTGTCAAATTTAGAACTATTTAATAAAAGAATTCACAACCCCAAAAGCGAAAAGTCATTTAAGAGCTCTTTATTAGAAAAAATAAATGAATTTCGAAATGCTTATGTTTCACTTCTTCCTTAGAAACTCGAGTATCCCATCATTTATATTAGAAATAGAAACAAATTATAACCCATGAACCCATTCAAAAGATAACCATATACGTCAGTGAATTGCTAAAAATATTCCACCAAAATGCTAATTCATACTCAAAATGGCAGTCGTAAAAACAGAGAAATTTCAGATGATTAAAATTAAGGAGCTTCTACTGATTTTGGCCAAAATTAAGGACTTTTAAAAACCAAAAATCGGTTCAAAAAATTTAAGGACTTTTAAGAACTCTTAAGGACCGTACGAACCCTGAATTATGTCATTGATAAAAACAAAAAGATATACTATAGAATGTCAAATAGATTCTTCCTAGATGTTGGTAGAACACCTATAAATTTTAAATTAAGATGAAGTTCAAAAATAAAAAATGAACATACCAAGAGATTTATCCGGGGAAAGAGTAGCATCCAAGTACGATCCACTTAAAGACATTTTTCCAGTAATGTCGGATTTTCTCTTAACGTCTGAATTTATAGAGAAGTAATCACAACCTTCAACAGCAAGCTGACGTGCAACACTCTCCAGTCTCTTGCGTTTATTACCTCTTACAGGCATTATAAATGATGAAGAGGAAGTTGTGGTGTTTGGCTAAAAAAACATTAAATTTTTATACTGAGCATTCTATCTAAGATTTTCATAAATAGGATGACACGTTTAAGCAAATTCAAGATTTTTCATGAAGGTGCCAGCAAGTAAAATGGTTTTACATGAAAAAAAAATCAGTTATATATCACCCCCTGTTTAATTAATCAGTAAAGGAAAAAAAAAAATCAGGTTTACATAAAAGAGCTGCAGAATGAATTTGCCATCATCTTTAAGATGGCTGATTCCTACTTGCGAGGAATATTATTAATTATCTAAAAATACCCACAGCAATTTTTAAGTTCTGTAATATTACACTATTTCAAATCCCTATAAAATTGTAAGGTATTTTATGTATATAACATCTCCTTTCAATAGTCCTCAAAAGAATGCAAATTAGGTTTTTGTATATTTAAGCCGATTGTCTGAAGGTTTAACAAGAGCTTTTGACAACTGCATCTTGCTGTCACTATCCTCAGCTCTGCTCAAGTTGCATTCCAGCTTTAGCATCTTGTTAGCCGATGTTTAAAATAAGCATAATTAAATACCTGATCCAGGTATTTAATTAATTAATTTGTATTAGTCTGAGAATACAATGCAAAATGAACTACTCCAGGTCGAGTAGTTCATTTTGCAATGCAGTCTGAGAATACAATATCTACATTTGAATTTAACATTATCTCCTGTTAATTTAATACCTGCAAGTCACAAATGTTCATCTGTCACACAAGCTATGCCATTTTTGTTCATTTAAAACTCGAATGAAAATGTTATTTTAACCTTCTTTTAGGTTTTGCACTTTGTTTCAGAATAACTGATACCTCATTTTATAGGACAGACACAAGCTTCTAGATGCAGAAGAAACAAGTCCCTCTCAGACTCATTTTTTGCATGTTAATCACTGACAAGCATGATGGTAAATTGCACGAGTAGGCCAAGAAAAGGAGAAAAAGTAAACATTTATCACATTATCAGATAATATGTTAACTATTATTTTCAGACAGGAATTTTTATTATTTGGTTCATGTATATGCTAATGTATGTGCCTATGCTGTTATCATGCATAACTCAGGTTCTGATTAGTGCATTTACATAATTTGTAACATTTGTATTAGATCATTCCAAATCTCAAACATAAGTATATTTTTAATTCATAAGTTTGAAAAAATAATTGTGGGTTTTTATATACAGAACATTGTATTTTATATCAATTTTATTTACTTTTGAATAATACTTAGCTTTTCAGAACTTTGCAGCACACATTCATATATTTTGAACACTATTTTGTACGAAAACAAAATGAATGTTATTTCTAAAATTTTAGAACTTTGTACATTTTTAAGAGTAATATAGAAATACATTATGAAATTATATATGCCTGTAATTTGGATCCAACTCAAGCAGAGTGGTTTGGTGGCCAAAGAAATTTATATTCCTACATAAAACTGCAGAAAAGGTTACCCACCAGTGGTAACATGCAGCCATTGGTAGGTGAACATTGTCATGACCCACCAGTGGATCACGAGACCTCAAAAACAAACCTATCACTATCCACCTGTGGGTCACGTGGCAGTTGAGGTGTTAAAAAAATTACAGAATACATAGTATTTTTAAAGTTGAAAAGAAAAAATTTAAAAGCAAAAGAACAATGTTTATTTTAATAGACAAAAACATTAAAAAAAAATTTACTGAATTTTAATAATGTTAAAAGTCTTTAAATGACTGACATGTAAAGAAATGCTAACTTCTACTTTCATTTTGAGAAAAAGGAATAGTTTTCCACTAAAAAATAGAAAATTCGAAAACAACCACTTGGAGAAATGAGGCACTAAACCTTCATTTGGACAACAAAAATCAATAGTTTTGTTGTCCAAATTAAGTTCACTTTCTATCGTAATTTTTTTTATCAATTAGTTCACTTTTTATCATAATTTTTTTTATCAATTAGTTCACTTTTTATCATAATTTGGGACAGCATTCATTCATGTGTTCAAAAGGAAATCAAAAAATAACTAGCACTGATAAACTGAATCCAGTTTTCACCTTTATCACATGAAATACTGGAAAAAAATGATCAGTATTTTTTTAAATGTAAACTAATAAAAAATTATAAATCTTAAAAATTACATAAATTTAATAAACAGGTAAAATATTCCAATATTATAAACAGTTTATATGCAATGAATAAAAATACTATATTAAGTAAAAATGATTTTTTAAAAAATGCCACCGCCAATTTTTTTTTTTTTTTTTTTTTTTTTTTTTTTTTTTTTAGCAACAAAAAAGGACTAATGCTGTGAGTAAAACAACCAAAAAAGTGTTAATGTTGTGTAACAACTTTTTTCTTTTTTTTTTTTTTTTTTTTTTTTTTTTTTAATTGAAAAGGTTGATAAAATTAAACCAATGCAAGCTATTATTTCCCAATATTAAATATATCCTGTGTCTTGCTTTAAATCAATGCAAGGTTTTAAAATGCAACATTTGCTTTAATTCTAAACTAAATATTTCTGTTTGATATACACCCCTTTTTTTTGTGTTTTTCAGGTACAATAAAATTTGAATAAATTTTTGTCCAAGCATTTCATCAATTATCCTTGGAATCAAAAGAGCTTGAATAGTTTAAAACAAAAACTACAAGTTTGACAAAATAATATATTAAGTTCCTCTTTTAATAGCTCTTTAGTACACTTAAAAACATTTATAATGTCTTCCAATTGTGACACATGTGATAATTTGAAAAATCAGCATTTTTAAGAAATCCATTTTCTTAATTAAGTTCGTTAAGCTCTTCACATATGATTTGATAGCATCAAAATCATTAGCGTTGAAAGGAAACATTTTGCAAACCAATATTTAATCATTAATATGCATCAACATTTAGGAAAAGAATTATAAAACAATAAAATATACCACTAGCATATATCACAAAAACAAATAAAAGTACTCACATTTTGAAAAACATAGATTCTTTCCTCTGCTTTAGCTTCTATTTGTATGCTTGCCCAAAACCACTAAAATTAAAAATAGCGACTAAAAAATACATTTTTTTGGCCTCTGTAAATTTTGAAGCATAAAAATAAGATTTAATCATACCTCATTTTTTATTATGTGAACTTTATGGTCATATTCCGAACAATTAACAGAACTCCCATCTTCAACCACGATGTGAGTACATGATGGATCAGTAGGTTGAACCACTTCACCACCTGAAATTTGTAAACCATTATTAATACATAGCATTTCAAAAATAATCATCCGATTTTAAATAATAATCATCAGATTTTAAAAATAATAACTATTCAGCTTTTGATCCATTTTGATAAATAGTATATAGATGGAAAGAAGGAAATCTCAAGTTTCATGCAACTAACGACAGGTAGCGCTAACACTCTTCCTTCAACCACTACTTCAGCATTTGTCTAGATGCAAATTTTTTTCCATTCTACGCTTCACAAAGTGCGAATAACAACCATGTAACAGTATGATTTTCTTCGACAATATCCTGATGTTCAACAATTTATCGCTCACAGCATTAAGTGATGGTATGAACAATATGAACAACAGACATGGGTTGTCTGTGTAAAAGAAAATCGGCCATGCCAGTAAAGAACTCGACATTTCACAACATCTAACTAGCATAGTTTACAGCGACATTCATTTTCTAAATCATACAGAATTCAATTTTTGCAAGTTCTTCATACAGGTGATAGAGAACGATGTGCAGAATTTTCTGAATTCCCACAGCTTTTCGCACAGTTAAAAGTCAATTCAAATGATGGCAGGACGGCACATCACCACACTGGAGCTTGGACAGTTGAGAATGTTTTAAAAATTGCATTCCTCAACAGCCATTCGGGACCCAATGATTCAGTTAAATATCATTGGCCTCTAAGATAGCCGGACCTCTCAGTGTAATAATTTCTACTTGTGGGGGTTTATATAAAAGATACTGTATAAGTGCTTCCATTCCCACTACATTTGCTGAACTGAAGAAGATTTGCTGAACAGCCATTGAAGCAGTGGATGCAGATATGCTCGCAAAAGTTAGAGATGAATTTGATCACCATATCGACGTATGCCGTGCATCCAAATGTGGATAAATTGGGCCCCTTTAATTTGGTTTATAAAAAAACTTAACGATTAGCCATCTAATATAAAATTAATCTTGAATTTCTAGGTTCAATATTTTTCATAACATATGCATTTCAGATTGGGCGATTCTTTTTGAAATACCCTGTATAAGTGGTGTCCCTTTATGTGATCCTGTTTGTCCATAGCTATTTTGATGATATTCTCCAAATAACAAGATAAAATTATGAAGAAAAATATCCTTCAAAATAGTAAAATAATTTAAGTGATAACCAGAAACATAAATAGGCACTTTCACAGCCTTTTAATTAGGAAGTTGAAAAGTTATTTATGGTTGGTTGGTTGATTGATTTTTTAATGGCACAAAACCTCGAGGGTTATTATGCGCCAGACAAATGGTGAATAAAATTCAAGATGCAAAACACACTGAATCAAGTGAATTCATGAAATGGACCTGAGATGCTGATGAAGGCATAGAGAAATGACTTTGAAATGTCCATTCACTCTAGCAACAGGTAGATCAGGATAAAAGGGAAATAACTTCAAATCATATAGTAAAAAAAGAATGTCTTTTCAAAATCTTTTGAGGTTGATGTGGGGGTTTCTTCCAATGAGATGAAGGCATGGGGAAATGACTAAGAAATGCTCTAGCATTAGGTAGAATAGGATGAAATGTAGTTCAAATCATATGGTAAAAAGAGATGTCTTTTAAAAATCTTATGAGGTTGATGCGAGGGTTTCTTCCAAGGAGATCTGTTAAGATAACATTCGTAGAGTTAAAATAAAATTCACGTTTCTGACGAAAAGCAGGACAGCAGGTTAAAATGTGATTGACTGAAACAGGAATGTTGCAAGTGCCACAGATAGGCTCATTATCTCCTTTCAAGAGATACTGATGTGTCAGTCTGCAATGACCAATTCGTAGGCGAGTCAGTAGTACATCCTCCTTCCAATTCTCTCTCGACTCCCAGTACTCCAAATTGGGTTTTACCTGCCTTAATTTGTTCAGAGTTTGGCATTCCCAGAATTTTTGCCACCTGGACAAGATCTTTGCTCTCATGTAATTCCATTATGTTTGCAAAAGAGACATCATTTTCTGAGGTAATATCAGCAGATTTTGCTACGATATCGGTAAGTTCATTGCCTTTGATGCCAGCATGTCCAGGCACTCAGCACTATGCAATATAGTAACCTGCGTTTCTCAAACGGAGGTGTGCCTTTAAAATTTCTAGGACCAAGGGTGGCTGGTATTTGTATTTATTGATTCAAGAGCACTCAGAGTGTCAGAATAGATTATGAACTTTCTGCTATTTTGCCTAGAGATAAAGATTAAGGAATTCAAAATGGCAAAAGTTTCCGCAGTAAAGACAGATGCAGCCTTATGAAGTTTACTACTCTTTATTTCTTTATCACAAACAAAAGCTACCCCAACATGATCATGATTCTTTGAGCCATCAGTAAAAATCACTTTGTAGTTAGAATAACTGCTTCTACACTCTAGGAAAATTTGTTGATATTGGATATCATTGTTAAGTAGGTGAATGTTCACTTCTTGCCAGGAAGCAATACCGAAAAGATCAAAGTTTTTGGGATGCAGATCATTTAGGTTGAATTCTTCAATCAGTAAGTGAATGTGAAGATCAAAAGGTGGAATACATGAAAGATTGGCTTGGTAAAGATGCCAGTGTTGATCAGATGTCATGAGTCCGACAGGACGTTCGGCCCGTGACATTACTTTATAATGAAGATCAATGGACAACTGCTTGCGTCTGAATTCCAAAGATGGTTCAAAACAGATGACATATAAACTTTAGACTGGAGATGTTCTGAAGACTCCACAGAAAATCCGTAGTGCTTGATGGTGAACTGGATCCAATTTCAGTAGCACAGAAGGTCTTGCTAATCCATAGATAACACAGGCAAGTTTGGAACGGATTAAAGCTCTATAAATGCAGAGCACAGAACAACGTTCTGCTCCCCATGAGGTATTGGCCAGGACTTTCAGAATGTTGAGAGCTTTAGCACATTTTTTCTTTAGATTTAGGATATGCGGAAGGAAAGTGAGCTTTCTGTCAAAGATAACTCCTAAGAATTTTGCTTCTGGCTCAACACAGATCAAAGAGCCATCAGATTAAATTAGATTATTATAATTTGGCACAAAACCTGTCAAGGTTATCTGCACCAGACAAATGGTAACAATGCAATTAGTCATTTGTAAAAACTTCCAGCTTAGGTAAGAAGAGACAGATTACAGTCTATGATAAGAGCTGATATCTTTTAAAAAACAGGTTAAAGTCTATTATAAAAGCCAATATCTTTTAAAAACAGAAACAAATTACGATGATGTGCTTTTCCAATTAAATTTCCTAAGTCCAGTTCTGAAGAATTAAAATGTTTTTGGCGAAAATAATTAAAACTCTGGCATTCCACCAAGATATGATGGACTGTCAGATCTGCATTGCAATTTGGGCAGCTGGGATTCTCTTCTCCCTTCAGAAGATACTCATGGGTCAGGCGACAATGGCCAATTCTCAGTCGAGTCAAGAGGACATCTTCCTTTCTATTAGCCATACATGGCCAGTATCCAATGGTGGGTTTTACATTTCTCAGCTTGTTATATACTTTGTCATCCCATTGCTTCTGCCATGTGCTGAGGATTTTGCTTTTGACAAACCCTTTGATGTCTGCTAGTGCAATCTGAACATTGTACATTGTGGTTGCAGTTTTAGCTGCAATATCCGTCAATTCATTCCCCTTAATGGCAACGTGTCCAGGGATCCACGAATATAGAATCTGGTATCCCCGAATTTTTAAAGAATGATTCAACTTCAGGATTCTGATTGCAACTGGATGAGTACATTGAGCGTGATTTTTCAATGACATTAAGGCACTCATGGAATCTGTGTAGATAATAAATTTTATGTACTTTTGTTTTGAAAGGTAAGTCAAAGCCAGATGGATTGCAGTAAGCTCAGAAGTAAGCACAGAGCAAACTGTATGTAATCGAACCCCTACTATTGTTTTCTCTGTGACGAAAGCAGCACCAACATGATCCTGGGATTTTGATCCGTCTGTATATAGAGGGATATATTTCCTATATTTGTTTCTATGTTAAAAAAATATCTGCTTGTAGATGATTTCATTAGTTTGTGATTTACTCCAGTGTCGAAAAGTATCCAGAGAATGGATTCTCCAATCCTCCCAGGGAGGAATTCCAAAAAAATCCTCCATCTGTATATCTATATTAGACAAATTATTATACTCCTCCACCAAAGCACTCATCCGCAAGCCGAAAGATGGGACACATGATGGTCGTGCCTGATATAAACGGGAGTATTGGTCATTAAGCAATTTTGACCGCGTAGAATTTTCGGTTTGTGATAAGACTTTAAAATAATGCTTAAAACAAAGATTTTCACGTCTTAACCGCAAGGAGGTCTCGTTACTTTCCACATATAAGCTTTCCACTGGAGAAGTTCTAAAGGCACCAGTGCATATCCGAAGTGCATGGTGATGTATCGGATCAAGTTTGGCTAATACTGAAGGCCTTGCCGACCCATAAATGATTGATCCATAATCTAGTTTCGAACGAATGAAAGCTCTATATATAAGAAGCATTGAGCTTCGATCAGCACCCCAAGAAGTATTTGACAGTACTTTCAGAATATTCATAGTTTTTAAACATCTCTTTTTTAGATAGGTAATATGGGAGAGGAACGTAAGCTTATGGTCAAATATCATTCCTAGGAATTTTATTTTTTTTTTCTACAGGAATCAGCACATCTTGCAGATAAAGTTCGGGGTCAGGGTGAGGAATTTTCTTTCGACAGAAATGTACACACGCAGTCTTTTGAGTACAGAATCTAAAACCATTTTCCTGTGACCATTTAACAATTCTATTGAGAGAAGTCTGCAGTTTACATTCAATGTCTTTCAGGTCTTCTTCCTGGCAACTGACTTGTAGGTCATCGACATAGAGCATACCCTGGACTGCTGGAGGTAGTTGTTTTAAAATAGAGTTAATTTTTATACTAAATAATATAACACTTAATACACTTCCTTGCGGAACACCCTCTTCTTGATGGAACATGTCAGAAAGTGTATCGCCTATCTTCAC